ATGCTCTGAACTTTTGTACAAAGCTGTAAACTACGCTATTATGCGCTTCTGAAATCGCCTTCTGATTTAGGCGAGGTGCTTCAATATTTGACGATGAATTATGGCCAATATCAGCGTACTGTCCGTGAGCTTCTCATGTTCATGAGGTATCGAATAGAGTTGTACAGCCTGGAATCAGATCAGTGGACAGTGAAAGCAAAGGTTTGCCATCTAAGACTTGTCATTCTAGTTTTTGGTGTATTATAGGTGGTCGAAACCATTGCGCTACCGGTAATATTTATATTTAGGGAACCATTGGAAATCTCGGAGATTTCGAAGAAGTAATTGGAGAGGCAGTTGGGGGTGGTAACGTGATAATGGCTATTAAAATCGCAAATGGCGAGAATGTACGTTATAAATTTCGTTTTGCTACTTTTGCCTCAGGCATTATGTAACTATTTCAGAATAAAGTCAGCGTCTCGTTTATGGACATGCTTGATTTTCGTGTTTTAACATCTGAGTTTATTGACTCACCTCTTTTCGCTCAAGTTGAGGTCCGCTCTTATCTTCTGTCAATGAATAGGTTACCCTCGACATCTAGTTTCTACACACTTCTTTCCAGAACTGTATCGTCGGTATTGGACCGCGAGAATGCCTTGTTTATGCTGACGAAGGTGACTGCCCATTTACTGGTAAAGAACGTCCGAAGAAGCTGAATGCTCTTCTACGGAAAGTGGGAGTTCTTGAGACAAACGGAGTCCACATACCAAACACAGCGGATTGGGAAGAAGTGCAGAATATATTCCGCCCAGGATGTGAACGTAATTTTCCCTCTAGCCTCTTTAGTTGTGCAATATTCTGCTAGTCAGGAAATCTGCTGGTCTTTCTTTCAGTTACTTCACTTTCCGACAATTTGAAGCGATGTCTGTGTGGGTTGTTTTCTTATCTTAAGATGGACGAACAGGAAGCTTACACGCACAAGTTCACCTTGTCGACCTATCGCACCTCAGGATTCATGCATATTGACGCTGGCGCGGTGCTGCACTGACGCTCTTCCGATCTGGTTTATGTGCGTTTCTTTGGATTTTCGGCTCCCCCACTTTCTTCACGATTTGGGGCGCGGCCGCGGCGAGCGCGGACGAGTCGATAGTGCCCGCGAACTGTGCGGGTAAATTTGAAAACGCTCCACCACCACAGTTCGCGGGCACTATCGACTCGTCCGCGCTCGCCGCGGCCGCGCCCCAAATCGTGAAGAAAGTGGGGGAGCCGCCTAGTGCTCTTGAATACCGCCCTTGCTTGTAACTACATCCACCAAGAAATGTGCTCAGGGTATTTAGATGTTATCACCGCCAACTTTAGATTTTTGTTATTTTTGGTTCTGATTGCAGATGCTAAGGGTACTTCCGGCACTGTATACGGTTTGCTCAACAAGTGTCGCACAGCCCCTGGCCAGCGATTGCTAAGTTAGTTTTTGAATGAATATTCACAAGCCACGTTCATAATTTCCGTTTGACGAAAATACATTAGTTTTATAGTTCACCGTCGTTTTATGTCATCCACTAACATAATGAATTCTTATATTCTTTTTTTTTATCAAACTTAGTCTTGTTATATTTGTTAGAAGTATGAATCTTCTTCGAAGAGATTTTTCAAAACTCATTCCTTTCCAGGAGAATGGCTTGCACGTCCCCTCTGCGATTTACGACAGATCACAGAGCGTCAAGATGTCGTCGAATCTCTCGTTATTAATTCCGACGTATGTTTCATCGTGGAAGATTATTGTAATGATACTTTATTTACCTTTTATTTTGGATCCACTCAGAACAGACTTAGAAGGGGTTTTCAAGGGGTTTTTCATACTCGCTATAAAGCAACACAGTAAGGCGGCCACATAATGAATCATTGCTCTGTACTGTTCAGGTTCGTCGAACATTAAGCGACATGCTGCTCCCGAAAGTCCCTGATAGCAGTCAACTTGCGAGAAAACTGGTCCTTAGCAAGGCCAAACTGCAGGTGGTCAAGCGTTCGGTTCATCGCCAATTTGTGACGCTCTTATTAGATCCGTATTAGGATTGCTATCGTGTCTACCAATTAGCCATGCTTCAATAGCCCATGCTTCTGCCGACACTGCGAAAACTGCTCTGCCGCGGATACTCATTCGATAATTGTGAGAAAATGCCCGCATAAAGGATTCATGCTGTAAGTTCCGTAACCTATCTGTATAACGAACTCAAACTTAACTGATTTGGGGATCCACATTTCAGGAGCCCATATGCTATGGATTGCTGCAGTTTGATAAGTACTGCCAGTTGATTCGCAGCACTATTGACGATGATTACTACAAGAAAAACTGGAGACTTTCGAATCCGTCCTGACATCGATCCCGAATTGTTACGAATTAGTGAAGACATGGCTGATCTCGAAAAACAAGCTGAGAAAGCTAGAGCCAAAGTGAGTTATTTTTCGACTTTCTGCTTTCATTTTCTACCATTTTTGAGCCACTCTTGGAAACTAGTTCAGATCGCATCGCGCTTGGACATAGACTCTGTGAAGCTGATGCACTCCCCAGCAAAGGTATTTTAGTCTTCGAGTCCCCTCTCAAGTTATAGTTGTTCATAGCTGTGACCAATGAGTGATGTGAAAGGAGTAATGGCGCGGCCGCTGTTAAAAAATTCTTGGGAGCTAGAGAACTCGAACAATGCATCGTATGAGTCTCGCTACCTCGCGAAGAACTTAACCAGCTTTAGGAGGAGAAGAATCTGCGGTCGAGTAAGTCCATAACTATCTTCGACACAACTAAAGCTGGAGGTGTGCGATTCAAAGACGACGATTTAATGGAAATCAATGAACGGTAGGTGGGCATAAGTTCGCAGAATTACAAAAAATAGATTTTGTTTCCGGATAGTTGAGCGCATTTATCAGGCGAAAACCGGAGTTAGTAGAGTAACTCCAGTTCAGCGCCTGGAACCTTTTGCAAAACTCTCTCTCCATTTATATGTAGCAGCGGCGTATCAAAAAAAGGGAAACTTGCTAGTGACGGACACGCTAGTCCCTAAGGGCGATAGAAGATAGAACCGACACCAGCGATTACTGCGATGATATTCCCGCGGCGACCCATAGCCTCCTTGCATCGCTTTCAACGCAGCACGCTCACCAACTGGCTGACTGGCTAAACACTCGCCGCAGGTCTCTAGCTGTTAGCAGAGAAGAGCGTAGATGTGAAACAAGCCACCGCATTAGCAGCGCGCCATCAACGAGAAATCAACGTGCGAAAAGGCGTTCTCATTGCTTGGGTTTGAGCCATTTAGTGTTTTTTTTTTGTTTTTTTCATTACGCACTGACCACCTCTAGCTTAACACTGATGCGCTGCTTTGAAATTGGTAACTCCGATTTTGAGGGTTTTTTTTGCTGCGGCACAAGCCTGGAAGGAAAAAGGAAACAAAAGCGCTTAAGCGCCTGTGCATATCAGCGAACGCAGACTATGAGAAATGTCAGCTAACGCATAGATATTTTTTGTGATCATTCGCTTTGGCCATTCTACGAGCTTAGGACTAATAAACCTGGTGCCTGAACAAGGAGCCAGAAGGTGAAGTGAGAGAGACTAGATGGGAGAGACGCTACAGTTACCATTTCAAATCGTTTATTAGAGTAAAAAGCCCTTTGTGCATCTGTTCGTATATCTTAAGCGTGAAGGTTTTGCGTTTTGCAGATATCAAGTTCTGAAACGACATATATCGAACTGCACAGCAAGATCTGGAGAAAAGTTGTCGGAACATGTGGTCAGTTATTGTTTCGTCCGAAGCGTTACAACTTGGTAATATGAAAAATTAATAGGCCCTGCTTTCCTTTCTTACCCCATTCTTTGGATAGAGCTGTACGTTCCTCGAATTCGTGAATGGGGATGGATTTGGCTAAAAAGCCAAGCATGAGGAAAGGTGGACTTGTCTGCATTGTTTTACCTTCCACTATGGGAATTTTTTAGTCTAATCCATCTCAATTCAAAGTTACGAGGAATCTTCGGCACAGTTCCTGGAGAGTGAGACAATGAATGGTAAATTGTACCAATTGATCTTCTCTGATTGATGAGTAGCATTGCAGCCGGCTACGCTCCTGCGCTCAGTGGACTAAGCACCGCACTGGCAACAATAGATGTCGTAACCAGTCTAGCTCGACTTGCGACTGACTCAGCGGGTGAATATGTGCGACCAAAACTGGAACCTATGGGTAGGAGAAGTGCTACCATTCAATACTCACTTGCTTCCTACTCGTTTTCCAAAGTATTCGGTTAAGGAAGCGGTGTGTTCGAGCTACGCAAATGTCGTCATCCTGTACTGGAGGCATTGATTGATGAGCATTTCATTCCAAACGACATCGATCTCGGTGAGCAGGCTTTTCACTGAGCGCCCCTGAAAGTGTTCTCATATACCTTTCCATACCACCACTTAGGTTTATTAAATATTTACCTTCTAGGGTCTAATCGAATGGTTGTGTTAACTGGTGCGAATATGGGTGGAAAGAGTACTTATCTCAGGTCTGCTGCAATCTCGGCTTTATTGGCACAAATCGGTGATTGCCTCTGAAATGTCAATTTGGACGTACATACTACAATTTGTTGAATGATACCTATGGTAATATTCACAAATCCGTTATTTTAGGAAGTTTTGTTCCCGCAACGTATGCTCGTCTATCTGTACTTGATGGCATTTTCACACGAGTTGGTGCCAGCGATCAACAAACGAGAGGAATATCGACGTTCATGGCAGAAATGCTTGATAGCGCCACAATTTTAGAGGTAGACTTCTTGCACTCCACTGAGATGAGCCTCAAATGTCGATACCACTGTTTTAAGAGCTTCTGATTCAGACAGCTACCCCGAATTCATTAGTTATTGTGGACGAATTGGGACGTGGAACTTCAACGTATGACGGTTTTGGATTAGCTTGGGCCATTAGCAAAGTGAGGCTTTCGTTTGATTTTGGATGCCAGCTCTTTTTCTTGTATTTCCACTCATGTGATCTTCCAGCGATCTTCTGAATCGGGTCCGCTGTTTCTGTCTATTTGCTACGCACTTCCACGAGATGGGAGCTCTTGCTAAGCAACCCGGCGCTACCGCCATGCAGGTATACATTTGTTTAGCCAGATTTTTTGGCAACAATATTTCTGATTTTGCCATGTGGACATAACAAGCCATAGCACCTATTGAGACAATACTTTTGGGAAGCACTCATTTGAGATGGATTATATACTTGAAAGGGACCTGGATTTTTTTTTGAGATAAGATATGTGACGTAGATAAATTCCGATCACCTGGCTGTGATCTTAATGATCCTTTCCACAACCCCGTCAAAAGTGAGCTGGCCTACCACTTTCGATCAGATCTCCTGATCGCTCCATGTTGTGCTCTCTTGGGTATTCTTAGGGCTGCGATGGGTTTCTGATATGAACGTCATCTCACAGCTAAGAGGAAATTGAAAATCTGGTAAGTCCCCGCCGCACCAAATGGGAGCTTAAGGCCACATCCAATTTCTGGAAAATACATGAATGCCTCCCTATATTCGTATTGACTGTTTCGCTGTAGACTATTCACGAGATACCGTACAGTAGTTGTAAAGAGGTTGTTTGAGCAGAATCCAGTGAAACTTTTACAAAGTATTATTAGAAGGCGGTCCATTTAAATCAAGGTAGAGGTGTTCAATGGTGGAGGGGGATGAAGAACAAACCATGTGAAACAGCCCGAAATCGAAGAAATGGGATCCCTTCCTTTCCCCGCTAATTTCTGCACGGATGCGACTCTCATCGATGTTGCTCTCTGTAACGGTAACGCTCTCTCTGCTCAATGGCCTGTGGCGAGTGGCCAACCAGTCGGTGGGCGTGCCGCGTCAACAGCGCCGCGGGGACGGCAACTGCAAATCGCTGTGGCGGATCCTTCGCTGGAATTGAGCATCGGTCTGCCTCCTTGGGGGTTTCCACTAAATGAGTTTCGACCTTCCACCTTATCGATGAATCCTCCTCCGAAATCTAATGTACATAGTAGCAACAATATGAGCTTCAATCGGTGCCTTGGAGGCACAGATGACAAATTTCTCGACCTCTCCCCATAGATAGAATGGGACCGTTGTAAATCATATGTCGTATGTTTCGTAATTGCTTTTAAAGTTGCTGGAGAAGAAATAACTTGAGCACACGTTTCCTAGGATACCAGGCATTAGCTGTGTCTGAAATTCAAAATTACTAGAAAATGTGTGTAACCGCAGGTATCCACAGGCGGCACTTGGAAGCCTTCTTTTTGTACATTATTTGGATAAATTTTAAAGGGCAGGGTCATAAAAAAACAATATTGGCGTTTGATCTGCCAGCTGGAAGTTAGGTTGCTTAACGCGCCCGGTGAGAAAAAGAAATCAGTCAAGAACATGCAAAAAGGGAACCCTGCGCTTACCCGTTGGACTCCGACAATGGACTTCAAACAACCAAGTGAGGGGTCGTTTGCACGCATATGTTACAAAAGGGGTATGAAGTCTTAGTGCGTAGCAGCTAGCGCACCTTTAGCCGCGAAAGGCCACAACTCGCTTCATTAAAGGAATCTTCCACGTGCACCGGCTCCATGTTTATTCCATCGCTGCACTGCTGTTTTAGGTGGCGTTTTTTTCCTCATTCTCTACACTTCATACGCAGGAAAGGGTGCGGATTGTTTTCGTTAGCCACACCTATGATGGAAGATGAAGCTTTAAGTTGTGTGTAGAACGATAAGTCGTCATGGAAGGAGCAGTTTAATCTCCAGTGTTTCCTACTCTTTATCCTATCTATGTAGTATGTTGTATTGCAGATGTCCGTGGCAGTACAAGATGGACAGCTGACGATGTTGTACGAAGTGCGCCCTGGTGTGGCCCAGAGCTCTTTCGGAATTCATGTCTCGCGTACGGTTGGCTTTCCCGAGCACATCGTTGAGGTATAATCGTCCTACCAGAAAGCCAGAAATTTTACAGTTTGCGTTACGGTAAGTAACCTTTGAAATTTCAGGAGGCGTCACGGATTTTAGAAGAACTGGAGAATCCAGCGAGTGAAGCTGACATTGATGATCTTATCGAAAAATTCAAAACGGCCGACGATACACAACTTATGCAGCTATTAGTTTGAACTCACAATCAGTGCCCTAGGATCTCCTGTTGCTCACTTTGGTTTATCCGGTGTCATATGCTACGCTTTAACCATTTGACAGTATTGTCTTATTATGTGTAGAAGTCTTTTCCATGTTACTACATTGGCTATGGTAACTTCTTTCTTGGATATCTGCCGTCAAGCGTTAACATCTCATTTTGATTACTTCAACCGCATGCGAATGTTCACGTGTGAAGTTGTCGCACTTTCTGTTTTGATTGTGTATGTAATCTACACATTACGAGTAATTTGCTGAAACAAGATTCGGAAGGATAATGATTTCCTTAGTTGGGCAAACTGGGCTTCTTGCGCCTTTCGCTTCCGTAACGGGTGTCCCCAAAGAGGCCCGTCGCGCGGCGAAGGAAGAGACGCAGATGCGGCAAAAGGACGAGTCGCAGCGCGTGCTGTGCGATATGAGACGTAGTATGGTACACTCTATTTAACCTGACGCCTAACCGCTACAGTATGCGCTGCGACTCGTCCTTTGCCGCGTCTGCGTCTCTTCCTTCGCCGCGCGGTGGGCCTCTTGAGGGACACACTTCCGTGTGGATCAGACGGCAGGATAGGGCGTTGGCTCCTCCGCACCGTTTTGAGGGCTGTTCCGTAATCGGGTGGTCGCATTGTGTCCGGCCTTTGCGAAACTACCCTGACAGGCCTACACCGCGTAGAAGCAAGCTGTTGGGCGAGGGGACTGACAGCGCCGGCTCCCGCCGGTGCTACCAGCCATCTCGCGGAATTGCCTCCTGAAATCTTCTGACGAGTTTATGACACAGAATAAATACGACCGCGGCCGGCAAGGAAGAACTGTCAATAGCAAATCAAGTAGAATGTGGCAACTGTCTTAGGTTTATGTGAGACGGGGCCAGACAAAGTACGACCGTTCATTTGTGTGATGAGGAAACTGCGAAACCTGCCAGAGTACTAGCTCCGCGCTTCCTCGAAGCACAGGTTGAGGCGCGGGGAGTGTTCGTGCCGGACATCGAAACCATGGACGACACTCCGCCGCCCCTAAAGTGATACAGTAGATTTGCATGAAGCAAGTTATCAATAAAACAAGCAACACATCGAGATCGCATTTTCACTAATTGAGTGCTAAAGATGATCGAAGGCGACGTTCGGATCATACGCGACGCAATGCTGTGCGACACTTGTTCGCGTCGTGCTGTCGCTCGCGACCGACTATGCGTCCGGCCAGAAGTTGAATAGCAAGAATGGATAGCAGTATAGCAAATAGCTGGTACGACAGGGGATGGCTAGGGGTACAAAATTTTTCGGCAAAAACCTCCAATTTGAATGTAGCGGATTACCCAGTGTGGTTAGTATTAAAGCAGAGGAAGCGGCCAAAACAAGAAAGTTTGAATAGATGGCTGAAAGCTGTTCCTCAAAAAAAAATGAGATGAATTTCTGAAGGTTGTCATGCGGTCAAGGGTTGGTTTCTGTAGGGTCGGTTCGAAGGATATTGCCAAGTTCACGGGCGCTATTTTGAACGAGAAATGTTCTAAATTGTCTGCGAGGATATGTTCATACACTACCATAGCTGGTATCTCGTTTCGACTTTCGCGATTAGGAATGGATCACAATTATTTTGCCATCATATTAACTTCCCATCTTTTAAGTACTTCACTGAAAGACCAGTTGAATACGGACAGCATTTCACGCGCAATGGTCAAGTTTAAACGCTTTGTCGCTCGTCGGTTTTCGCGCTCTGATCACAACTCGCGTTGCGCCCGCTCGCGAGCACTTTCGAAGCGTTGAAGCTTTTGTGGTGAGCTTGTGATCTCATCAGTGAATGCAAACTTAGCCAATATCGGTAAATATCTCTGAAATTTGGTTGATCGTGTTCAGTAATAGTTTAAAGTAGTTGCAAATATTGTATTGTATTTCTATGTCTTTTTTCGGATTTGGTGCCTCGTTTTTTCTAAAGCGCGAGCATGTGCTCTTTAGTGCTGACTTCTCTTTTAGATTCCTTGTAAAAATGGCTCTCGTGGGAATAGACTTCCGCGCACCTCTTAGGGAAGTCAAGAGGGTCCAGTTTGGAATCTTAAGTCCTGATGAAATTGTAAGTTGCTTATGATTATTGATGTCTGAATTACCACATTACTTAGTGGAGCTTTCGTTTTTGTTTGAAGAGTGTTGGTTATTTGTGTTTTCAGAAACGCATGTCTGTTGGTGAAATCGAGTTTCCAGAAATATATGAAAATGGAAAACCCAAAAAAGGAGGCTTGATGGATCCTCGACAAGGCGTCATTGACCGCAGGGGAAGGTGCTCATCCTTGACTGCATTAGTTGTGTTGATGGTTGGGATTTTTTCGGTTGTGTAAGTTGATATATGGCTTTTTTCTCAGGTGCATGACTTGTGCGGGAAATTTGGCGGATTGTCCTGGACATTTTGCACATTTAGAACTTGCGAGACCTGTGTTTCATATTGGGTTTCTAACAAAAACACTGAAGGTATATACTGATTTTCTCTTTGTTCGTCTGGAAAACTTCAACTCCTACCGTTCCAGGTTCTCCGTTGTGTGTGCTTCTATTGCAGCAAATTGCTGCTGGATAAAGATAATCAGCGTGTGAAAGACATTATAAGAAAGACACAAGGTATTTGCACAACGAATTAGACATGCCTAGTGTATACGCAATTTATGCACTTTTCTAAGGCAATCCTCGAAGGAGATTGACCTTGATCTATGATATGTGCAAGTCAAAAGTTGTTTGTGATGGTGGAAATGAAATTGAGAGTGTGAATCCTGAGGTAGGTGGTCTTCTTTTATTCCTGTTCAGTGTTTTTTTTTATAAATTTTGGTCTGATTTTCGTCCCGTTTGAAGGAGGGAGATGATGGAGAGAAAGTTATAAAAGCGGGTGGCTGTGGTCGATATCAACCTTCCTATCGCCGTACTGGAATAGATATTAATGCGGAATGGAAGAAAAATGTGAATGAGGATACGCAGGTGAAAACTTTTTCCAGATTTGTTGTGGAAGTTTGTGAGGCTGTTTTTTGATCCTTGAATTAATTCTTTCTTTAGGAGCGCAAGATTTTCTTAACTGCTGAGCGAGCTCTTGAGATTTTCAAGCAGATTTCTGATGAAGACGTCGTAATTTTAGGTCAGTTTTTTTGTTTATTTAAAATTGTCTACTGACATTGTCATTGATTTACAGGCATGGACCCACACTTTGCTCGTCCTGACTGGATGATTTGCACGGTTCTTCCAGTGCCCCCACTGGCAGTTCGCCCAGCAGTAGTCACTTTTGGATCGGCGAGAAATCAAGATGATTTGACTCACAAACTTTCTGATATTATTAAGACCAATATTCAATTGAGAAAGTAAGCGGCACCTTTCCCGTTAAAATCATTTCCTCCTCAAAAGCCAAGCATATTCTAGTAATGAGGCCAATGGTGCGGCCGCTCACGTTTTAGCAGACGATGTGAAGCTGCTACAATATCATGTTGCCACATTGGTCGATAACTGCATTCCCGGCCTCCCAACTGTATGTTCTTTCTTGAAAGTTTTTAGGTTTTACTTTTGACAAATCATATTCTTTATTCCAGGCAACGCAAAAAGGAGGAAGGCCGCTAAAATCTATCAAGCAAAGGTTGAAAGGAAAAGAGGGTCGAATTCGAGGAAATCTTATGGGTTTGTTTTCGTTACACTTACTCCTTTTTACTTATTTCCCCTTGTACTTAACTATTATAATGAGCGCTTCTTCATGCTTCATGATCAGCTTTGCATAGATTTACACGTGTGTTATGGTAGACAACTATTGGTGACATCGTTTAACATGTAATCTTTATCCTTCTGTAGGTAAACGTGTCGATTTCTCTGCCCGAACAGTTATTACCGCCGATCCAAACCTGCCTATTGACACTGTTGGTGTGCCAAGAACGATCGCGCAAAATTTGACGTTCCCAGAGATAGTAACTCCATTCAACATTGACAAGTTAGTCATTGTGATTCTGTTCTTGTAACATTGTTTCATGATCTCAAAGCTTTCATATTTCAGACTTCAAGAACTTGTAAATAGAGGAGACTCGCAGTATCCTGGCGCCAAATACATAATCCGAGAAAACGGTGCTCGTGTCGATCTGAGGTATCACCCTAGAGCGGCAGATCTTCATCTCCAACCCGGCTACAGGTACATTTATACTGGTCTCTTTTCCGATTCCTGATTGTAGTCACATAATCCCTCTTCAGAGTGGAGCGACATATGCGAGATGGTGACATTATTGTTTTCAATCGTCAGCCCACTCTTCACAAAATGTCCATGATGGGACATAGAGTGAAGGTGAGACTGGTTTGAGTCGCGGGGAATTGCAGGGAATTGCAGAGTTCATCACTTGATTTGTAGATTCTTCCATGGTCTACTTTTCGTATGAATCTCTCTGTGACTACACCATATAATGCCGATTTTGATGGAGACGAAATGAATTTGCATCTTCCGCAGTCTCTGGAAACCAGAGCAGAAATTGAGGAAATTGCGATGGTGCCAAGGTATAGAGCTAGAATCATTGGTCCAGTTTGTTCACGTTTTGTGATATCTCTGATTAAGGCAGTTGATCACTCCTCAAGCGAACAAACCTGTGATGGGTATCGTACAGGATACTCTGTGTGCTGTCCGTATGATGACCAAAAGGGACGTTTATATCGACTATGTGAGTCATCTCATCACATCTCATTTTCTAAACGACTACCAAAGCAATTTACACGATTTTAGCCAAGAATGATGGACCTCTTGATGTATCTACCGTCGTGGGAGGGAAAAGTTCCACAACCGGCAATTATGAAGCCAAAGCCGCTTTGGACAGGCAAACAGCTTTTCTCACTAATCATTCCGGGAAATGTGAATGTGTTGAGAACTCACAGCACCCATCCTGATGACGAAGACAGCGGCCCATACAAATGGATCTCACCTGGTGATACCAAAGTAGGAGATTCTTCTTTTTACTTTTGTATACTTTTCATGCTGTTACTACCTCTACTCTTTTTCTATTGATTTTGTCTTAGGTACTTGTTGAACATGGAGAACTTATTTCTGGCATTGTCTGTTCAAGAACTGTCGGGCGATCGGCTGGTAATTTACTGCACGTGGTTGCCCTAGAACTGGGTCATGAGGTATCAAATGTGGAATCAAACTGTAATTTTAGGCCATATAGCCTTACTCACTGATTGGTACTGTTTTCAGGTTGCGGCGAAGTTTTATTCGCACATCCAAACGGTAATTAACGCATGGCTCATCGGAGAAGGTCATACTATCGGAATTGGTGCGTCTTTGCCATTTTATGCCTTTCCTCAAACTAGGTTGAATACTTCTCTCAATTTTTAGGTGATACTATTGCTGATCAGGCCACATATCGTGATATTCAGGATACTATTAGAAAAGCTAAGCTTGACGTGATTGATGTTATTGAAAAGTATGTATTATTAGAGACTACTGGGCCTCTTACCTAATTGTTACCGTTGCAAATTTCAGGGCTCATAACGATGATTTGGAGCCTACGCCTGGTAACACCTTGCGTCAAACATTCGAAAACAAAGTTAACAGAATTCTCAATGACGCTCGTGATAGGACAGGAAGTTCCGCGCAGAAGTCACTTTCCGGTGGGTTTCACTATCAGTACTCAGCTGTGGCTTTTCAAAGCAATGTTTGCAATTGTATTTGCTATGTTTTAGAATTCAACAACTTCAAATCTATGGTAGTATCCGGTTCCAAAGGATCAAAAATCAATATTTCTCAGGTGAGAGGGGTTTGGTTTTCTTTTTTTGTGGTGTGCCAAGTCCGTTTCGTATGCGAACTTGTAGTGCGACCATCTTTGAAACATGGTATTGCAGATGTAGAGGCAGTAGTTGGTTCGTAGCACAGACATTCTTCTAAGATCTCAGTTATTCCCAGTGGAATCGCAGAGTTCCTGTCATTCTAGGTACCACTCCTATTAGGGCTTGGAAGCTTGTGTCCATACTTGCTACCAGGGTGAATATCGCTTGAGGATTCCTCAACGGCACGTCGAGGATTTTCGCCTGATCCTTTACGTTCTCGCGCGCGGATATTCACTCTCGCCACCCGCGAGCCGTCTGTGCTCTCCGCGCGTACATTCACTCTCGGCACTACTCTCGCACAGCAGAGAGCGATGGTCGAGGAATTTCCTCGACCGTTATTCACCCTGCTTGCTACTGCATGATTGTTTTGGTCTACCGTTTACTAATTTTTAGATATGCCACTGTTTCAGGTCATTGCTTGTGTGGGTCAACAAAACGTTGAAGGTAAACGAATTCCGTTCGGATTCCGACATCGGACGTTGCCTCATTTCATCAAAGATGACTATGGACCGGAATCGAAAGGGTATCTCCCCGATTGTAAAGACGATTTAGCATTTTAGCATTCCTTCGCTATTTCGATATGATTTAGATTTGTTGAGAACTCTTACCTCGCTGGTTTAACTCCGGCTGAGTTCTTCTTCCATGCTATGGGAGGTCGTGAAGGTCTCATTGATACAGCTGTAAAGACCGCTGAAACTGGGTATATTCAACGACGTCTAATCAAAGCTATGGAGAGTGTGATGGTCAACTACGATGGAACAGTGCGTTGTACTACTTTATATCACGTTTTTTGTAGTTATATAGTTTAGTAGTTTTATACTTGTGTTTAGGTTCGAAATTCGATTGCTCAAATGATACAGCTGAGGTATGGTGAAGATGGTCTTGATGGTATGTGGGTAGAAAACCAGAACATGCCCACCATGAAACCTACACACATGCTCTTCGAAAAAGATTTCAAGGTAGCTAGGGCAGGCCTCCTGTCTGTAAAGTCGCTCGTTGTGAATTTTTTCAGCGAATTTGTGAAATACAGGGTCATTTTCCTTTAGAGAAGCTCTTTTTTTAGAATGATCTGTCTGACGAAAAGACCCTACGAAAGTATTATACTGAGGATCTAGTACGAGAATTGCAAGCATCGCCAGAAGCCACGAAGGAGGTAACATTGTGCTGGCTCCCTTGTCTTTTTTCATAAAGGAAGGTGGTTATGGTTTTTGTTTCAGTTAGAAGCTGAATTTCAACAGCTGGAAGAGGATCGTCGATTACTTCGAAAAATATTCCCTACTGGTGATGCTAAGATCGTGCTGCCATGTAATCTTCAACGATTGATTTGGAATGCCCAAAAAATTTTCCACGTGGAAACCCGGTTCGTCTTTTCATGCCCCCTGCGTTTCATTATTTTCAATCTTTCCCGAGACACGGTTTCATAAGAGGTGTTATACTGCTGCCAGTCTGCTTGTCCGGTTGTGTTTAGGTTCCTCCTTATTTTTATCAGTTTTTTATTGTACTTTTTCTTAGAAAAGTGTCCAGTCTCAGTCCTCTCCATGTCATAGAAGGAGTAAGAAAACTCTCGAAGAAATTGGTAATCGTGTCTGGAGAGGATAAAATTTCCAAGCAGGTACGAGTTTATCCAATTTCTCTGAGTTGCTGAAATTCGTTTCTTGAGATGATTTTGATACTGTTAGGCGCAATACAATGCCACTCTTCTGATGAATATTCTCATTCGATCCACCCTCTGCTCGAAGAAAATGGCATCGACTCACAAGTTGAATATGGAAGCATTCGATTGGTTGATTGGTATGAATTTTCATGAATTTGAAATGAGTCTGCTTGTGTCGTACAAAATTCCTCCTTGTAGGTGAAATTGAAACCCGATTCCAACAGGCAATTGCTCAACCAGGTGAAATGGTTGGCGCTTTGGCTGCTCAGTCTCTTGGAGAACCGGCCACTCAAATGACCCTAAACACTTTCCATTATGCTGGTGTGTCAGCAAAGGTGAGGAATAGGTGATCTTCTCAGAACACGGACACCGCTTTTCCCTGTCCACAGTGAACTTTGTTTCATTTGTTTCAGAACGTCACCCTTGGTGTGCCTCGTTTGAAAGAAATTATCAACGTATCGAAACAGTTGAAGACTCCTTCTTTGACGGTGTTCCTTCAAGGAGCAGCTGCAAAGGATGCGGAGAAAGCGAAAGACGTTTTGTGCAAACTGGAACACACAACCCTGAAAAAGGTATTATCCATTGTTTTTCCTCAGTGGTAACTTTAACGCAACTAAATTTCAGGTTGTGTCTAACACTGCAATTTACTATGATCCTGACCCGAAAAACACCTGTATCGAAGAAGACGAGGAATGGGTTAGTATTTTCTACGAAATGGCGGACTTTGATCCGAAGCCGTGCTTCTCCCATGGGTTCTTCGCTTGGAACTGGACAGGAAAAGGTTTGCGTTTTGAGGACGAATACCGTTATTTTTCAGTTTTACTACTGCATTCGTGACTTTTTGGTTTATTATTGGTAGCACTTCTGGTGTCGATAAATCACCAAGCTTCTGTTCTTTCAGAATGACGGATAAGAAGTTAAGTATGGAGCACATTGCGGATAAGATTCAGCAAGGATTCGGAGATGATCTTAATGTGATCTACACCGATGATAACGCGGACAAACTTGTTTTCCGACTTCGCATCACCAATCAGCCCTCCGACAAATCCGCAGAGGTACCCAAATTGCTCACTGTTTCTCTGAGTTTAAGGAGCACGCAGGTTGAAAAATTGATGATTTGCTTCAGGTTGAGCAGGTGGATAAAATGGAGGATGACGTCTTCTTGCGCTGCATTGAGTCAAATATGTTATCCGATCTTACCCTGCAGGTTTGCGTACCCTTCCTTCTCTTAAATGCCATAGCAACGCAGTGGTTCGTGGGAACGTTTGTTTACACGCTATCTTGTTATAGGGTATTGGATCGATTTCAAAAGTCTATATGCACAAGCCAACGACGGATGATAAGAAGCGCGTCGTAATCACCCCCGAAGGAGGATTTAAGGCGATTTCTGAGTGGCTTCTCGAAACTGATGGCACTGCGCTGTTGAAAGTGCGTGAGGCAATTCCTATGAATATTGCTCGCTTTTCTATCTCGGTTCTTTAGGTGCTCTCCGAGCAGCATATTGATCCTGTACGCACAACTTCTAATGACATCTGCGAAATCTTCGAGGTGAGCCCTTTCCATATATACAATTAAGCGTCATAAGATCTTCCCGAAATAAGCAGCTTTAGGTGTTGGGCATAGAAGCAGTACGTAAAGCCATTGAACGTGAGATGAATAATGTCATCTCTTTCGACGGATCGTACGTGAACTACCGTCACTTGGCTCTCTTGTGTGACGTGATGACGGCTAAAGGTAATTTTTGGCTAGGAATTCCCTCGAATTCTGCGGGAGGTTCTGTTCTTTCTAGGGCATTTAATGGCTATCACTCGTCATGGAATCAATAGACAGGAAGTGGGTGCTTTAATGCGCTGCTCCTTCGAGGAAACCGTTGATATCTTGATGGAAGCGGCTGTACACGCGGAAGTAGACCCTGTGAAAGGTTATCATCGCCTAACCATTTCTGTTGATTGATTTTAATTTTTTTGTTCATTTTCTCTGATTTGATTTTGTTTTTTGTTTTCTTTCTAAATGGCACCAATTCAAAAATCTCATTTATAGGTGTGTCTGAAAATATCATGCTTGGGCAGCTTGCAAAGGCTGGAACTGGCTGCTTTGATTTGGTGTTGGATGCGGAAAAATGTAAATATGGTATTGAGGTGAGTTGTAATATTTGCTGAGACTAACTTTTTGAAAGATTTTACTTTTCTACTCAGTATTAATTGTTTCCATTTACCTCCATCATGGTAATTTCTATTTTTTTTTCACCTTCAAGTGCTGTCTAGTATCATGGGGTAATCATGAGCTCTCGTAGTTATTCCGACAAATTAAAATAGTCAAACATTTTTTCGAAAC